TATTACACGATTACTATCGATATAAATAAAATCGATATATATCGATGATAAGATATTTATCGATATATACCTATTACTGGTATATATCGATTATTGGTAATATATCGTTATATATCCTAAATTATCGATAAATGCCGTTTTTATCTTATTGATATATATCGATGTTTTGCTATATATCGATATGTATCTATATAAAAAATTTTCTGATGTACTTCTACTTAACCAAGATATAATTTACTATTTAGAAGTAGATTTTGTAATATCTGTAGATTTTGCACCTACTTTAGAACTTACTAAACCATACCATTTTTTTATTATCAACAATCATCAGAGATGAGACATACTTATAGAAAGTATAATGTTGATATTGTTACATTGAATTGGATATTAAAGATGTAATAAAGTTGTATAAAATATTATAAAAAAAGGTCAAACATAAGTCTAAAATAAAGAAACATTATAAAATTAAGATCTGTATCTAAATCTTAAATTATGAATTGAACTATTAACTTACATGATTGTACTTCTCACTTTAATGATAATCATTATTTCTATAGTAGTCTGATTTTTTGGGCCTAAAATTCTTTAGTGAAGATTTAAAATATAGTAGCTTAGATAGTACAAATAAATTAGATTCGCATAATAGTTATTTTTTTTTTTTTTTGAAAACTTACATAATTGACTTAATTTATATGAATTTTCTATCAAAATATTTGAAAAACTTGTATATCCAAAGAGTGTTGTTTTACTCAATAACTACAATCTGGGCCCAATCTTACACTTTTGTCAAGAAATATAGGCACTTTGATGCTTAGTAAAGCTTCAATCCTCACCTTTCAAGATAACTATATAAGGAAGATTTTCTAAAACATTTAGGCTGATATGGAGATAGGTTCACAAGAGTAATTCAAGTTAATGAAATATTTTTTGTTTATAAACACAGCGGAAAGAAATTTAAAGGTAATAATAATAGAAGTTATATGATAGGTAGAACCAAATTATAGTATCTTTGAAAGTAATATAATAAACATAAGTTTGAAAATAAAGTGTTGGCAGTTACTTTTCTAAATTAAACTTTTATTTTTTTTACAATAGGCAACTTATGAACTAGTATATAGCATCAGTTAACTATTAAAAAGAATAAAACGTAACTTAAAAAAAAAGCAGATTAATAGAAATAGAACAAATCTATTAGATAAATTTGTCTTTTTTCTATTGACTTAGTGAGAGATTAGAATTTACTTCAGGATTTAGTTTGAATTTGTTCAATTTGCTTCAGAAGATTTTCAAAATTCATATAATACAACACAAAGATGTAATTATTTCAAAATTATAATTTATATGATTTGTCTTTTTTCTATTGACTTCTCCCATATTCTAAAAGTTTCAAGCAAATCAGAGAAGTTTTTATCAAGATGTTTTTGCATTTTATATTTAAATGTAAAATGCAAAAATATTTTAGTAAAAAATTTTCTAATTTGCTTGAAACTTTTAGAATATATATATTTTTATATCTTAAGCAACTTCTATTAAGTAACTTTTATTGATTTACTTAGTAGAATTTTGACTTTTATATATAGAAACTACTTTCAGATTTTAAAAAATTATCAGAGGTAGCTTATTTTCAGAATAAAAAAGTTTTTATGTTCCTATTCCAAGAAAAGAAAGGGTAGCTTATTTTTGGAATAGCTTATTTTTGGGAATATACAGTATTAAAAAAGTTAGATATGATTAAGAATTTGTTAATTGGACTAAAAATTCAACTAAAAATTCAACTAAAGTCAAGATTCCAAAAAATCAAGACTTAATTAATATGCATTAAAAATGTATTAAAAATTATGATCAACACAATCAAAGCTTACAGTAGATCTGACAATTAAAGATTCTCTAGAATCTTTATCATCCATGGCAAATACTTTTGAGTTATCTGACTAGTTAACAATGCAAATATCGAATTATAAAATCAAAGATCAATTTAACTTATTGAATCTTACAAATACAACCTGAATGTAATAAAAAGATTTGGGAGCATGTTAAGAATGATCAGAATGATTAGAACAATAAGATGCTTAACTTTATTAGAAATGATTTGCTGCATGCATATCGACAAAGAAATATTAGAAATTTATAAACAAAGCTATAATTATTATTGTATATATAGTATCCTGAAAAATTCCAGCTATAGTGTTGAGATAATATTCTTCTGTCATAAGCAGTTTTGTCTGAAAAACTAACTGATTTGGTGTATACTGAGACATTCGTAAAATAAATTGTTTTTATCAACTTCATTTCTTTCTTTTGTGAGTTTTGAAATCTATAAAATTAAAATTGTTAAAAGTTTACAAAATAAAAATATATATAGCCAACTAAGAAGTTAATTGATGGGGTAATAGCTATTAGTTAGATTCTAAAATAGTAAAAGTACAACTAAATTGCTAGGGTGGGTGTTATTAAGTAATTAGTATAGCATAACTCTTTCACTGTAATATCTAATTGTAATAAGTTCTATATTAATTAATAAAGATTTACAGCGTATAAGCAATTTACAATAAAAAAAAAAAAAAAAAAAACATACAATATATTTAGTTTTATATGTTTATTAATTTTAAATATATATAAAAATTTTTAACAAAATTATAATCTAACTAAAAGTTTTTTAGATAATTTTACTATATATTTATTTATTAATTTTTAGCTTTAATACAAACTTTTTATAAAGTTTACTATTGTTATATGATTATGACTTTTCTGTATAATACTAAAAAGATTTTGATTGGATATATATCACATGATAATTGTTAATTTATATATTACAATCTAATACTTTTTGGTTTAATAGATTAAACTAAACCAAACAAAAGTGGTCTAATATTTAGCCCAACACTTCAAAGAGAACCATCTAAAAAAAAATATAAGAAAAAAAAAAACAAATAAAATTAAATACTATAATTTAAAATCTGATATTTTTGTATAACAAACAAGGCATACAGTAGGCATACAGTTATGCCTCTTTATAATCACTCAATTACTATCTAATATATAGCAAAAAACCTCTATATATAAGCACATCTCTTTACAAGAACATTTTTTTAAAAAAGTTCCTATAGTCCCAAAAGTGTAATTATAAAAAGGTATAACTATAAATAAAAAAAATAAAAAAAATAACAAAAATTCAAAAAAGAAAAAAATACGCAGAAAATGATTATTCCACAACAACCATCAATCCAAATTCTATAAAATTTTTTTTATTTTAATTTTACAAGTTTATAGAATTAAGATAAAAAAAAAAATTGGTTGAATTCGGATAAGTAGTTGTTGAGAAATATTGATCGAAATTTAAAAAAAATTTAGTTGCAGCTTTTTCTTTATAGATACCAAAACTTTGAACGAAGATTACTCGGCACTTACTTGAACAAATTCGGGCAAAATTTTTTTATTTTAATTTTATGAGATAATAGAATTAAAATAAAAAAATTGACAAGGTAATCTTCGTTCAAAATTTAAGCATAACAGATAAATAAAAAAGAAGCTACGGCTAAATTTTTTTTAATTTCAATCAATATTTCTCAACAACTACCTATCCGAATTCGATAAAATTTTTTTTACTTTAATTCTACGGAATTTTAAAATTAAAATAAAAAAATTTTCATCGAACTTGGTTTAGTAGTTACCGAGAAATTTTTATTTGAATTCTAAAAACCCATATTTCTGATTTTCGATATTTTTTTTAAAACTTTGAATGAAGTTTTTTTATTTCAATTCTACAAGCTCTAGAATCGAAATAAAAAAAATTATTAAGTTTAAATTACCAGTCGTTGAGAAACCTTTGCTGGAAGATATTAAAATATCGACATCAAGTTAAAAAAGATCATCCCATATTGTTTACATAGTACAGCCAATAGGAAAATTTGGTATTTAAAAAGGTTTACCTTTATTGAACTTCTATCTACCGCTCCGTCATTCATTATGTCTTACGAATGGCAGGCTCCCAAAGAAGGGGATGTTAGATCTCCTTGCCCTGCTTTAAATGCTATGGCTAATCATGGTTATTTGTAAGTTATCATTAAATGCTATACTCTATATAAATTAAAATGTATAATATTTAAAACAAAATAGACCTCGTGACGGTAAAAACATAACACCGAGACAACTATTCGAAGCCCTTCAGAAGGTTTTTAACGAAGACGCTATATTAGCGACGTTTCAGGTGGCTAATTGTTTTACGATATATGGAAAATGGTTTGCAGGAAAAATGTATGATACGCGTGTGCGCAGCCTTTTATTGTACACTGGGGATGGCAAATTGCAGCTATTCGAAATTATACAACATGATTATTTTGAACCAGGGCTAAACGAATAGTAAATTCCGGTCATCCAGAGTGTCGTTCTTGATGTATAATTGTTGCGATCAAAGAACAATAGCAATAATAAATAAGAAATTTTATTAGCTATTTAATATAATATATATTTAATAATATATATATTACTTTTAATTTAGATAGATCAAAAACGACATTTTGGATGACCGGAATTTACTGTATATCGTTTATCCGTTTTGAATCCATTTTATAACATTCATTAATACATCAACCCCAGATTTTAGATTATTCGTTCATATAATTTATAAATAACTTTGGCAGAAAATATTTTTATTAATAAATAAAAGCAACCCCTGGTAACTTAAGATAATGAAATAACATGTTGTATAGCGAGCCCATCCCAATCATACACATAATACTAATCTATCCTTATTTGAAGATCATTAGAAGATCTCTGTCAACATGGAAAACTCGAGCATGATGCATCCTTATGTCATGTGGACACTGCTCTAGGTGAGAATTGGATTGTAAAAAAAGACTTAGTTGATCAATTAATTGCTAGCGCAATTGACGGAAAAATCAAGCCGGAATCTCTTAAAAACACATTCCGAGCGCGCTATTTGAATTCGAAAGAAAATGATCCGGATTTTACCTTTGGTACATTCCAAGTACAACTTGCTGCGGGCGAATACTCTTTATTTCTAAATATTATTGGTGCAAATACAAATAAAGAAGTGGATGCCAAGGTTGCTGAAATCTTTTTTCATGAAGAAAGATTGGCCGATGAATGGACACGACCGAATTCATCTGTGTCGCTTCCTACAATAATCAAAACTAATTATGAATTTTCGAAAATAATGAATGCAGAAATAAAGGAGTTGAATTAACGTCTTAATCTACTAAATTATTAAGAATTATTATTTACTAAACTACCACGAGATCTATTATTTATATCGCCCAAATCTTATCAATAAATTAATATATTCTATTCCCTCGAGATTTTAATATGCTTGAATGGAATACATTTTAGATGGATAAAATGATTTGGTTATTTTGAGTAAAACTATAAAATAAAAACATCTATATAAATTTGAGCCTAATTAAATATTATGAACCATCTTAATCGCACAGAATATGTATGTATTATGGGACACATAAACGTCTATATAATTATTCGACTTTGTTTTTTCCCTCTTTTTCCATTCCAAAAAAGTCTTTCAGAGACAATACTACAAGCTCATGATCTTCGATATGAGATGATCCACTGACAGTGATAGTCCCAGCAACACCAACACCTTTAACAATCAATGGAAAAGCACCACCATATGCTACAAAGTCTTTATCACTAACCAGATATGTTTCAGCACCAAGCTTCTTGTTTTGTTTCAAATATTCACTAACATAAAGTGAAGAATGATAAAATTGATTTACAACATTGTTTTTTCTTTGTACCCATTCAACTTCTGCAGGACTAGTTCCTGGCATGGAATAATGAAATAAAAGGTGTGTGTTCAAAGTAATAGAAATGACTACAGGAATCCCCTTTTGTTGAGCGTTTTTGAGAATTAGGAGACCTAATTCAAGTGCTATGGTGGAATCGAAAGTTAAAAATTGGAAGTCTTGTTCTTGCTGAAGAAGATGAGCTATGTCCGTTGCCGCCATTTCGACTTAATAATTACTTGAATCTTGGTGCTTAGTAACGTAAAATTTATTCTCAACATCAAGCCTAAGCCACAATTTTAATGAAAGTATGATGTATGTAGTACAGCCAACTCTTGAATCTGGGTAACCGTTTAAGGACCATTCGGCCTGATAAAAATTGGTCGAATATTTCAATTAAGTTTGGTTTGTGATTCCGGCATAACAGAATAATTTTGATACGTATTAAAAAGCCTATATTGGTTTAATTAAATATAATACCGATACATACTATCGCTATAGTTAATTTATTAACTTTATTTATACAACAATAAATCTTGTATATAATTCTATAAACAGTTATATTAAAATTCGTTAACACAAATAAACCAAAATAATCTCGGTTGAACCGACTGTGCCCAGTCGGTAAACCTTTGTGCTTGGTTTAAAACCACTGCCACCTATTTTACAATATATATATGATAAATAGCTAATAAAAAGATGTGCTCTCTAAATTAACAAAATTATTATAAAAAAATATTTATTATGTTTCATTACGTATCATTTATTACGTATATATATATATATTAACAATTATCTCACTCAAACTACTCTAAACTGTATAAAAATTAAACACACTAGATACTATATACGTATTTAAACTCTTTAGACAAAACATTACATATTTATTATTCGCGATGAATATTTTAGAAATAAAAATAAAGCTACTGTATTTTCTTACTATATATCAGATATCTAATACTACAGTACTAAACGTGTTTGGTTTAATTTATACCGGGTCTTTCATTATATACAACCAATAAATTTTCAACAAATTGAAACATACATTTAGTTCGTGTTACATATTGGTGTGCATATATGATATACTTATCACGGGATTATGAGTTTGTAAAGATACAATAATACTGCAGTACTGCAATAAATTCTATGATTTGGTATTTATAACAAAGCCATTCACAGATGCTGAAGTTGGGGCGAGTTAAATAAAAAGATCTTTTAAAGAGAACGAGCCATTATTTTAAGGCTGTGGGAAAACATCTTTCCTCATTGTCATATTCTTTTTGTCAAATCTTCACGCGCTTTCCAGTAAATGAAGATCTTTACCGACTTTGGGTGCAGAGTATCTTATGGTATTCCCGTGACCAGCCGAACGACTATCCCTACTGTCGAGGTTCCCGCTTACCCTTTTGACTTCATAAACTTCGTCCAAGTCATAATCATGCTGTGCTTCATCATTATTAGTTGCATATGGTGACACATATATCATAGTAATAGTACTGGACAAAATATTGCAGTAAACTCTAGCCTAGTTCCCCGTTAAAAAAATAATAAAATAAAAAAAAAAAGAATGTCAACTAACTACACTTCTAATAGTAAAAAGAAGGATAAGCCACCAGTTAATGGCAATGGTCACGCATTCAACGAAGGTGCAAACGGCTCTGGTTCAGAACTTACAGCTCCCTTTCCTAACGTGAATGGAAATCAAACATATTCAAATGAAGGAGTTGAGCAGCGACCGTCACAAGCGCATCAAGAACCAGCGCCAAGGTACATCGCGAGACCCAATTTTGGCTTGATCGACTTCACGTTACTGGATACTTTAGGTACACTTACATCAATAGCATCTTATCTCTTTCAGAAGCATTCTACTCGTATAAGTTTACGTACATTTGAAAAACAAATAATCATAATAGATTATTAGTTGAATAAATTTTTGAAACATAATAATTTTTGAACAAAGATATTACACATTCTTTTCTGCATCATAATTTAATGTGAATGAAATCATTGGGTTGTTTATTACAAATTTACTGATCTTTCTTTCATCTATAAATTATAGGTACTGGGACGTTTGGTCGGGTGTATCTTACCAAATTTAAACATACAGAAAACTATTATGCAATGAAAGTATTGAAAAAACTTGAAGTTGTACGACTTAAGCAAGTGGAACACATTAATTCGGAAAAGCTAATCCTTAGTCAAGTTCACCACCCATTCATCGTGAATTTGTGAGTTCATAATATTTATTAATTTCATATTTATTAAGCAAAATCATTAAGGAACTAGATTACGAAAAAAAATCAAATTCAGGTTTTGTACATTTCAAGATGAACGAAATTTATATATGCTACTTGAATACGTCATTGGTGGAGAGCTTTTTTCTCATCTGCGGAAAGCCGGACGGTTTACTACAGATATGACACGGTTTTATGCAGCAGAAATCGTTCTTGCTATTGAATATTTGCATTCTAAAGATATAATTTATCGAGATTTAAAACCAGAAAACCTACTATTAGATTGTAGAGGCCATGTTAAAATCACGGATTTTGGTTTTGCAAAAAGGATCGAGGATCGGTAAGCAATATATGCAACTTTTTAATCTAATGTTCGAATATATCCTGGCTTAATTTATTTGGAAACTCAACTTATAGTACCTGGACGTTATGTGGCACTCCAGAATATCTGGCACCGGAAATCATTCAAAGCAAAGGTCACGGAAAACCCGTGGATTGGTGGGCATTAGGAATTCTAATATTCGAAATGTTAGCAGGGTAAGAAATTAAATTATTATTATTATTATTTTTTTTTAAAAAAAGAAACCTATTTATATTATTTCTTTTAAAAATATATATATATATATTTATTTTTTTTTTATTTTTTTTAAAAAAAATATATATTTTATTTTTTTTATTTTTTTATTTTTTAAAAAAAAAAAATTAAATGAATTTTGTATTAACTTGAAATTTTACTTTAGATATCCACCATTTTTTGATGACAATCCATTTGGCATTTACGAAAAAATTCTTGCCGGAAAAATACAGTTTCCATCTCATTTTGATCCGAACGCCAAGGACCTTATTAAACGTTTACTAACATCTGATCGTACAAAACGACTGGGTAACCTTCGAAATGGTAGTGAAGATGTGAAGAAGCATAAATGGTTCCGTGGTGTTGATTGGCAAGGATTATATGAAAGGCGTGTACAAGCACCGATTATTCCTCCATATCAACATCCAGGTGATACTAGTAACTTTGAAAAATATCCAGAACCTTCAGATGAGGAAAATGGTGTTGGTAGTACGAATATGTTAACGGGAGTTGATCCTTATCGGCATTTGTTTTTAAATTTTTGAAGTGGATCTTGATTAGCATTGCGATCCAACCCTTTTTTTTGACTTATGACATTACTACGTAATTTGGGTTTGTGAAATGGGATTTCTACTTAATTTGAGACCAAAACCAAACTCAAATATGTATCCCATTTACGATCAGTAGTGTCAAACTCAGAACCAATTAAATTTATTAAATTTGTAATAACAGATACAACATACATGCATTTCAATAATGTTATATTAAAACTTCTACACACTAAGAAAACAGGCACTGTTAGACATCCGGAGCTAAAATTTAATGGCTAGCTAAAATAAAAAGTAAATATATATATATATATATTGATTAATATTAGTAAATTTGATGATCGTCTAGTCCAAAAATAGGTGCAGAAATACACAAAATCTTGGTCTCTATTAGTCCTATAATGCTCTCGCTACGCTTTAAGAAACAAAATAAGAATGATTAAGTTTGATTGAATAGATATCAAATAATTAATACGATTTAGCTAGCATTAATATGTAAAAATCTTATCTGTATAATTAATAATTTCTTAAGTTGAATCTAGATTTTGATCAAGGTTATCACATTTAGTAAAGAATTTACTTGTCCATGACATTAAATTAAAGTTCATGAGCGTTAACCTTTCAAATTCAAATTCAGCATTTATGTAAATTACTATTTAAAAAACATTAAATAATTATAAATAGGTGAAATTTTATTTTATTATTTCAACGTTTTACAAACAACTATAAAACATCTATCTATATATTTGATCTTATATAAAACTAATTTCATTAATTTCACCTTTAATTTCAACTATTTCAACATTGTTTTTTTAAGGCAATTTCATAGTTACGGTTATAATCATTATACCGTACTTATATAGTACTTATTGTTATCATGATTCCGTGACAATAGGATTCATGGGCGTTAGGTCGATTCACCAATTCGATCGGGCGTGCATGAATAGAGGAGCCCTTTTAAATTTTACATATCGATATGTAAATTACTGTTTAAATTTGGGTTATAATCGTGCGTACGTACTTATAGTTATGTTATCTGTTATCTTGATTCCGTGGCATTAAGGTTCATGGGCGTTAGATTGATATCATTTACCATTATAATGTATCTCCTCAAAATAATATCTTACAAGGTTATCCGCCGATAAAATTATTAGGTTCGTGAATAGCGCCGGCTTTACTGAACCAGGCTACGTGAAAAAAAATGCTATGATAGTTACATTACAGAATTCACATCAAACTTGTCATCATCATTAATTCATGTTTATAATTTAAATAATTATCAAAAACATTGCTGTAAAGAAAAAAAAGCTAATGTTAGCATTAGATAAAGTTTATTAAAAATTACAATTTTATAAGGATAAGAAGGAATTTTACTAACGCTAATTAAAACATGAAATTGTGATTAAAATTCAACAAATTGCATATGACACATTATCAAAAGTCTAATCTCATACAAGCCCGAATCCCGTGATATGTAATTAGAACAATAGATACTGTATATTACAGTATTATTACAGTATTACAGATCTTATATCGGTATGGGATAAACCCCAAACTCAATTTTTATACGTATATGGTTTTTTTAGTCGTGGTACAAATGTCAAAGCGTTTGTTGCAAATTCGAGACATTTGCGCAACTCAATAAATACCATTTTGGAATCTATCTAGTCCCAAATCGCAAGTAACCCTCTAATTAAATTTCAAAATAGTGGAGTTAGGTCAAAGCTAATCCATATAAACCTCTTGATATATTGAATTTCAGGATTTACTAATAAAATTCTCGATATAGTAAATTTTTTATTAATGGAGTTGATCACTTCATTATAACGAGAGTACCTTGGGCCGCAACCCTAATCACGATCAAGTTGAACGAAAGAGTTTAAAGAAAATATCAACCAAGAATGCAAAAGTCTATACAGACAGAAATCTATTGTTTCAATTAATAAAGGTGACAGATTTATGCTACATAAAATGTAAAGACCTTTATTCCTTGTCCAGTTCCTTGTTTTTATGGTTTAATGAGTCATCTTTCCTTGTTTGTGATTACGGAGTCTAGGTATTTCACATGATCTTTCTTCAATCGTAAATAATGGCATTCAATCTTCTCGTCTTTAATGCATCATTACACGCGCTCTATAATGGATGGAAAGAATTTGTTTATCATGCTGTGACGCAATCTTTTTGTGGATGCAATTAAAACGGTGTTATTTAAAGACGAATCTTTTTGTGAAACAATATCGATATAACACCTCTGTTTCATCATTGAATGATTTATAACATAACTATCATGGTTTCGTACTATTTGAGGTTGCGATTCACATCCTTTTTTTTTTCTTTTTTCATGTGCGTACGTTATTGTTTGTAATATAAATTACATAATTTTAATTCAGACATTTGGGATGATCTGTAAGAAACTTTATATAAATTTAAAAGAATTTAACAAATTTTAATTTGGCAATCAATATTTATTTTTATTGTTTTTTCCTATTCTGAATATTAAGAAAGAGACGAATATTACACAAGATGCTTTATAAGAATATAATGAATGTAAATATATCGATATAGTTAGCAATTCATTCATTTTATTCTGTGGTACATACAAATACAAATAAGAAATTTATGTAGCATACATTGAAGGAATAATATCACATGAGTAAAAAAGTTTTATGAACTAATAATTAATTCTTTTACCTTATTAAATACGAAATCTTCAGCAGAATACATGTGAAATGTGGCCTTAAATATTCGTAGAATATAAAATAGTTATTAGTGATCGAATTTTATATATCGAAAATTATTACTAATTATTAATTGTATATCAATGACATAACTATACGTATTAACGAACTATATTACGTAGCGCATAAAAAATTAGCCATTGTTATAATTAGATTATCGTTATCTGCCATTGTACTACAATTTATATCACTAAATATAGATATACGTATATACATTTACTAAAAAGTATTCATTCTATCTTTGAGTTTAGATAAAGTTTGTTTTATTACTATATACTATAAAATTTCGAATTTTAATAAAAAGTAACAGGTTGAATTCAAAATTTCTGTAAGATATCTGTAGACAAACTAATCATCGCCTAAAAATCAGTTATGCTATTTAAATATAATATAGAACGAATATTTTTTAAAATAATAAAAATTATACTTTTATAGTATATGTCTATTATAAAGTTTTTTCAATTGGCTCAAATATTTTCTAGTAATTAATTTTGATTGGTTAATTTATATATCTATTGTTATATACCGTCCCATCAATTTGTAGATCGTTACACAATTGATAAAGGCTTTTTTTATATTGTTTTACAATACTTTTTTAGGAAGCTCGCGTAACTTACTCCCGCTATGAAACTCAAAAATGCCACTAAGTAAACTTGAAGTATTCGAAGCGCCCTACAACATATTTCTTTAATCCCCGTTAATCCCATGTCCTTGTGCTGCTATCGCCTGTCAAAGTTACTATTAAAAAACATATTGCCGAAGGTATTTAAACTATTTAGTTTAACTAAATTCTACTTGTTGAACGAAAAAAAGTTAAAGGTAACGATTTAGCGAAGATAATACATCAAAATATATCAGTTTATTTTATTATTATACGTGTTTGCATAGAAATATTTAAATTATTAAAGAATAAAAGCAGCCTAACTAACTAACCAAATAATTTTTTTTTTATGTTTAAAGATATAATGAGAAGCCGTATATATATATATATATATTATACGAAGGTCATAAATGTTTCCGTTAGCAGAATAATTGTTACGTTGTAACGATTGTATATAATATTTAGTATTAGGTTTAGATTAGACAGTTTTATCGTATCAAAGATTATTAACGATCGTTAAAAATTACTTAGTTAATAATAGACGAATTAATAAATAAATTAAAAAATATTTATCTACTGCAACCGGGTTTAGGGCATTTATTACAGTATTATAAGCCAATGTACAATCTTTTTAATTAATGTTTTTTTGCTTCGTTTTCAATATATTTTTTACATTTAACCTACGATTTTTATTACAAAAATTCACGCTTTTGATTGGTTATCACCTGATCGGAGATTTTCGTAATTTGTATAATGAGGACGGTCGCCCCTGTAAATTTAGGTTGATTTTCTACATTGGAACTTTTCAGAATTTACTCCAACAAACTACAATGACCAATCATTTTCTAGCTACATAATATGAATGCTAATATTTGGTAAATTATGTGCATATTATGCTTTCGCATAATCCTGGACACCCTAGCCTAGACCCCTGGTGGGGCCGTATGTGCCGGTCCAGCCATGGCTGAAATTGCTGCCTCACAGCCGCGGCTATAGCGTAGTAAGCATTTCATAAACAAGCTTTTGTAGCAAATTTTTTGCATAAACTAAATTATCAAATGCTCTTTATAGGCACCCACTAAATAATAAATAAAAACTATCCCAAGAGCACTCCAAAATTTATCTACACAAAAATGCACAGCAAAAAATAGTAAGGTCAGAATTATGCTAAATTCTACTAATGTTACTGAGCAAATTTTATTATAGAGTAAGCTTATTTCTTAAAAAAATTCATTTTTGATAGGTAAAAAAATAAATTTTGGCCAAAATTAGGAATTTTTAAGATTATCGGCCTAGATTACAGTTGTTTTGGGAACATCAGTAAAAAATTAACTAGTAAAATACAGTATTTTCTGATTCGATAAAATTGTGTTCTTAGTATTCACTGGCAAACCAAAACATATGAATATTGAATCATTAAATATTCAATCGATAAAGTTTTTACCAGATGTTCTAGAACTGTAATGTAGGCCGATAAGGCCACACAAAGTTGATTTTTCGTTTTGCATTACCCGCCGTCCCATTTTTTCAATTTTCAAATTTTTTTTTTTTTTTTTTTTTTAGATCAAATTATGCCAATTGTTCGATTTTTGACATCTATTTTTTACCGCTATTTTCATCCGGTACCACCCGATGGAGACCTTAATTTCCCGTAATTGTCCGATAGGACTGACAGGAAAAATATGACTGCTGGCCCAATTTTTCGATTCCTTGTTATCAAATATAACTTTAAATGTGATCATTATTCTATTTGCAGTAAATTGAATTAAAAAAAAAAAATACAAAAAAAAAAAAAAAAAATCCGTCCGTCCGTCCCTAATTTTGAAATCCATGTAATGCAAAACGAAAAATCAACTTTGCGTGGCCTAATCATCAAAATTCCTAATTTTGGCCAAAAATTGTATTTTTGATTTTTTTTTTTGCTATCAAAAAAGAAATTTTTTAAGAATATGCTTTATAATAAAATTTGCTCAGGAATATTTTTCATTTAATGAGTATCGGCAGTTTCATTAGTAGAATTTAGCATAATTCTGATCTTACTATTTTGCCGTGCATTTTTGTGTTGATAAATTTTTGAGTGCTCTTGGGGTAGTTTTTATTTATTATTTAGTGGGTGCCTATAAAGAGCATTTAATAATTTAGTTTATGCAAAAAATTCGCTACAAAAGCTTGTTTACGAAATGTTTACTGCGCCATAGCCGCGGCTGGACCAGCTGGGACGGCTAAGCCGGCTTGCAGCACTAAATCAGAGATTTATAAATCCTATCGCTATTTATTTTTATTTGTAAGCTTTATTTATATAATATATACAGTAGATATAATATACATCATTAAAAAAAGGTTGTTTATTTTATCTTCAGACAACTCCTTTTTCATTTTCTGATTTCGAAATCTCAACAATTTTCAAACTCCCACTTATTTTCAAAATAAGTTAACTCTGAAACTCCCCATTGTATCACTTCCTAAAATAAGTATCGGGTATATCCTCAGATAAATTTGGTTTTTTCCGTCACAACATAAATACTATCGCCATATGTAGTAATCAGTGCTTAATACCTTCAGATATCTTCATGAAATTGTTATATTATATCCTTTTTTTTGTTATATTTAGCTCGGTATATTTTTTGTTATTTGCCAAAATGTACCTAGTCCTCGAAGTGAACAGGCTAGCACATTAGTTGGTACTAGACTTTATTTCTTTGGTGGAGGAGGCACTTCTTTTACAAG